GGGAACGGAGCGGGGGGTGCACCGCCACGCTCAATGCGACTGTGTCAGGCCGCGCCGCAGGGGTGTAGCTAAATGTTCAACGTTTAGACCAAGCTGCGCAACGACCCAGCTTTTTGACAGGGCTACAAGGGGTCCACACCTGCATGCCGATTATGTGAGGCTTGTACCTGCAGGGGTAGGCGCAGGCACGGGCGGTTGGCAGGACCGCCTCGCACAACACTTGGCAGCAGCCGCTGGGCTCAACTCACTTATGCTTGTGCCCGCGCCAGCGCAAGATCAAGCGCGCCCCGCCATAGCTTCTTCTGTTCCCCCCTCTGCATATGCCCCTGCTGCCGAAGTTTGTCGCTCGCAACGGCATGGCTTGGTCCGCCCCACCACCCACTTGTTGATGATGTTTGCGCAGTCAATTTTTCTCTCCGCCCACTTGTCGCCCGGCGCCTCATCAGGGTTATCATACCTGTGGCCACCAGATGGGAGCCAGCAATGCGCCGGCAGCACAGAAGGGTGTACTTGCTCGCAAAAAGAACACAGGAATCTCACCCAGTCGCTGTGAGCAACCCGTGTCATGCCAGCAGTCAAATTTGTGGATGCGCTGTGAGGCATGCTGCGTGAGGAGGGCCGCGTGTCCCTTCCCAGAGCACACGAACGTGACCGGGGCAGCATACTGCCATGATGCAGCGGCGGCCGGCGTGACCCACGCTGCTGAAATCGGTCCACAACCAACCAACCGCTTCCCACAATCACCTACCTGATGTTGAAACTCATCACCTTGATGATTGGTTCAGCCATGATTCGCCTTGACCGTGAAAACATGAATGAGTTCGGGGATGGGGAGGGGGAGGGGGAGGGGCCGGCTAGTTGCTGGTACTGTAACTGCCTAGGCTAGCCAATCATGGCATGCATGTGCGCAACACTGACAATGGCTGCATCCAGCCAGGAACCAGCCACTGTTGTACTGCTAAAGGACAATAGTGTATGCCAAGGGTCACTCGATGACACTGCCCCACGCGATTTGGCATATGTGCGGTGGATAGATGCCGTTAGTTCGCAATGCTGGCGACGTCGGAATGGCTCAGGCAGTGAAGCGCGGCGGGTCGTGCGGCGCTGCAGCCAAGTCGGAAATGCATTGGCGTTCTAGACTGATGCACATGCCCAGCGCACCGCACAAAGCTTGGCTCACGCGCCAACAGATGCCAATCGATTGATCTATTACACGGGATCGAGGAACTACGGTAGCCCGCCGAATTGCTACTAAATCTTTCGCAGATACCGCAGTGTTGGATCGTCTCGAGCAGTCTTCAGTTCCTGGACAGTTGAAAGCGTATGTGCTGTGTCACTTCCGAGTGCCACCAACTCGACAGTGTGAAGTGGCACCAACGGTTGTGCAAACCAAATGACGACGCGTACCTGAAACCCCGATAGACCTTACCGGTAGTATTACATGCAACGCAAGCCACGACCATCAGCGACAGCTGCTGGCACGCTCTGCAGCAGCTTTACTGCAATCGGGTCATACAGTACGCAGCAATGATGCTTTCAAATCTGTTGCCCGTCCATGTATCATGGGTTGCGGGTTCACAGCATGCCATGCCAAACCCAAATGCACGGATGCACATAGCGCAAGTGAGACCGGCAGCTAGGCAGTGAAAGAAGCTTGCTGTCTGGAGGAAGCTTGCAGGGGTTGAGCACCTTCTGCTGACGCTGCAACGACAGCTCGCGTTACCCTAAGCAGGGACAGGTGGAAGCTGGAGGGGCAGGTGGGTGAGGGGGTCAATGCACCCGCGCAAGGCGGCGGCCTGGGGGCGGTGCTGCCGCACAATTCAAGGGGGGCTGGGTGGCACATCCAAACTACCACACCCGGTCCAAACCGTCCCATTACACATCCCAGACATTGTGGGATAAGCAGGGACATGTGGAAGCTAGCGGCGGCGTAGGTAGTCGGTAAAAGGGGTACTTGACCATTGAGAAGCAGGCGATTGGGGGCGTGCGATACGAGTGATTGCCTGCAGGCGGGGCAGGATGAGCACCAGCAGTAGCTTTCAGAATCGGCGATGCTCACTGCGCAGATGTTTCGTCCCCGCAGATGCGGCTGCCCTCGTACCGCATTCTCAGCAAAAACCTCGCGCGCCCCGCAATCAGCGCTAATTCTCCTGCTCCTTCCCCCTCCCCCGCAGCTTGATAGCAGCCTTTTGCCTAAGCAGTTGGGCGGGGGCATACAGACAGTGAAACGTCCAGGTTTGACCGCCCTTCGACAGCTGCGGCTGGATGTATGTCAAAACAGCTTTCCGGTCTCACACACTGATAAAAAGTTGCCTTTGTGTCTGCAGTGCGTGACTGGGGTTGCATTGCAATCATAGAAGCAGGGAGTGACCAGGTGCATCGTCAGTTCCCCCCTGCCTGATCAAGCGATACGGCTATCTCTACGGCGATGATGGCGTGGGGCCGGCTCCGCGGGCAGGCGCCTGCGTCTCATCGTGCAGGTGCGACTGCTAGATGCCTCCCACGCTTTTAGTGCGTGCGCATTGTGATAGTGTGCTTCTGAGGGAAGAAGTGAGCCAGGAGTGACACGGTACAGTAACACCTTGTGCAGGCAGGCAAGTTCTTGGAAGCACTCAAGCACGCCGCCACCCAGAGATGCAAACCTCGTTATACAAGGATGCTTGCACAACGACGGTTGACCTGCTGGATCCAAAAACTAAGACTGTTCAAACCAAAAAAGGCATCCCAAAACCACAAAGTTGTTTTTGCTCCAGCCCCCATCCTCCGACTCATTGGTCCCACTGCGCAACCGATAGCCAGCTGGCCGCCGCTCGCAGGGCGTCCGCGCCGCCCGCGCAGCTCAGCAGGTGGCGTGCGACCTTACCCGTCACGCGCCCCGCCCATGCGCGTGGGTGGCCCTCGGCCTCTAGCCAGGCCATGAGCTCCCCATCCTCCAGCCGCACAGAAAGGGAGGGGTCGTCCCAACACAAACCGATGACCATGTCGAGCGCGCAGTCGTCCTCACACCACACAGAAACGACGCGCCGCAGCGGCGCAAAGGTGTCCTCGCCCTCGGCCGGCGGCCGCACGCGGGCGCCGCCGCACACGCGGCCGCCGAGCAGCGCGTGCAGGCTGTCGCCCCACCCGATCCCGGGCCCGCATTGTGGTATGGCCAACGGCCAGGTGTAGAGGTCGTGGGTCGTCACCCCCAGGCTCCGCCATGACACGTCCAGGAGGTTGCCGCTGCGGATGGCGCCGAGCATCGCACTCAAGGCAGCACTCGGCCGCCCCTCGAACGAGCCCCACGCTCTTACGGGCACAGCCTCGCCACGGACGGCTAGATGCCGCGCCTGCGGGCTGTCGAGAACCGTCATCATGTGGTTGAAGCGCCCCGCCTCGGCTGCGCTGGTCGCCGCATAGTTGATGTAGTCCTGCACCAGGGTCAGCTCGGCCACCCAGGCCTGGTATGCAGGGCTGGTGACCTTGGCCCTCGCCTGGCCAAGCGCGTCCACACCCGCCAGCACCGCCAGCGCCGCCGCCTGCAGCTCGGCCAGCACCTGCGGGCCGTGGGGCGCGCGGTCGTGTGGCGCTGCGTGTGCACGCGGGCAAGTGTGCAAGAGGCCTTGTAACAATCATGTGCAGGTTCTGCAGGCACGAACGGGCTTCCATCAAATCACAACCGGCCTGCGTTGCCTTCCCGCGCTATGTTCATACAGCATGCGCCCCACAGCCACACGAGGGCTTCAGGGATCCGGCCGCCCACCTGGCTCTGCACAGCCCATTGTTCGCCGAGCGCGCGCTCCACGTCCAGCGCGGTGCCGCGCCGCACCGCACGCACCACAGCAAGCTGCAGCCGCTGAGCCTGCAGGTCCTGCGTGCCCCAGCCAAACTTCTTGTGCTCGGCGGCAATGTAAGCGTGAGCCATGTCCTCTGCCTCTTCCTCACCCCCCGCTGCACCCAGGCCAAACCAGCATCCCGCCAGCTGCCTGCCCAGTGCATGCCGGTTGGGCCGGCCGCAGTGCGCGCCCAGCTGCAAGCCGGCGCAAGCCAGGCGGGGCACCAGCCAGGCGCGGCCGGCGGCCGGCAACACCACATGCTTCGGGGCGGGCTCGGGGGGAGGGTCCAGGGCCGCGACCACTGCCTGCAGGACTTCCACCGCCATTCCCCGCCCGTGCGCCTCCGCCCAGATCTCGTCGAGAGCAGCAAACAGCGCCGCGGGCGCCAGCGGCGGGAGGACGGATTCCAAAAAGAAAGGAGCTGCCCAGCAGTCATAACCAGCGCCGTCGTTCCCCGCGAGGCGGCAGATGGCGTCTGCCAGGGCCCGGGGCAGATTGCAGCTCTCGCCAGCCATGATCAGCGCGAAGCACGCCCCGCGCAGCACCTGGCGGTGCAGCTGCCCGTCTGACAGCGTCGCCGCCATCTTGGCTGCGGCGGCGACGAGGTGCCCCACCCGGGATACGCGGTGGTCAGCATGCTCAGTGACCATCATCAGCAGCTGCTCCTGCACCCCCGGCTCGCAGAGCGCCGGCCGAGGGCCTGACGGCGTGCCCAACAGGCACAGCTGCAAGGCGGCTCCCCAGCCCGCATCGACGGTCGCCGCATGGCGGGCGCTGGGCGTGTCCTCGCCGTCCAGCAAGAATTCATAGCGTTCGCTGCGAACATGTCCATGGCACAGGACAAAGACCTCCACCGCGTCGCCGCCGGCCACACGCTCGCGGAACGCCTGGCACAGGGCCTCGGGCTCGCACACCAGCCCTCCCTCCAGCGCCCTTTGCACCACGCTGGCCCGGCAGCGGCGGACGGCAAAGGTCTGCAGGTCTGCCGACACAGCCCCCGTGGCGTCCCATGAGCCGCCGTTCAACGCGCGGAAGACGGCCATGGCGTGCGCCCACCGGCCGGCCAGCATGGCCGACTTGGCAGCCGCCACAACGTGGGCCCGCTGAGTCACAGGCCGCGTGCCGCCCCCCAGATCAAAGCCGGCGGCCGGGCACAGCAGGCGGCGCAGGGCCAGCGGCTGCAGCAGCGCCGCGACGCCTCCCTGAGCCGCGTAGGGCAGGAGCAGCAGCGGCGCCATGCGCCGGCACAGCGCCAGCAGCGCTCCCACCGCGTCGCGGTCCGCCAGCAGGCGCTCCCCGGCCGCGACGTCCGGTGCTGCACCATGCCGCCCCTGCTCCTGCTGCTGCTCCTGCAGCTGCTGCTGCCAATATCGGGCATAGCGCAGCATCCACATCGCCATGCCCTCTGCTGTCTGATACTTCAGTCTTCGCCATGTCACCGCTGCATACTGCCACGGCCGCCCGGGCGCCGCGACCGGGTGCTGCGCCCGGAACCAATCAACGTCAAACCTGCAGCACAGCTGCAGGCTGCCGCTGCTGGTGCTGGCAAAGTTGGCGGGGTCCGGAAGGCGGGCGATGATGCTCTGCAGGACCTCAGATGGCAGAGCCGTGAGGAGCGTGTGCTGAGCCGCCATGACAATGTGTCCACAGTTGGGCAGGTGCGTCGAGCAGGGGCGCTGTGAAACGCCGCCGCGTACTGGTGATCCTGCAGTTTGCCAAGAGGCAGGGAATGTTCGCAATACCGTTTGAATGGCACAGTATCACGGTGCAGTGGCAACAGCAGCCATCAATATCATTCGCCACTGCAGGCGCTGCTGCAGCAGAGCAGTGCGCCAGCAGCTGTGCCGCATCCAGGCACCGGAGCCCGCTCGCTGATATTCACCCACCAGTACGGTCCCGCAAATTTGCCCCAGGGGCGGCGCT